GCAGCCGCGCCGGCGCGGGCGGGCGGACTACAACTCCCAGGAGCCCCCGCGCGAGCCCGTCGCCCCGGCTTTCCGGGGCACTGTGGGGAGTGTAGTTCGGCGGCGCGCCCCAAGCCTTGGCGTCCTGATGCGGCCGGCCTCCCAGCCTCTGCCAGAACTCCAGAGCTCCGGGTGCCCGCGGACGTCGAGTCTTCTGGAAGGGCCAGGCTTGGGACGGTGGCACCGCGGTGCCGTCCGCTGAGCCTAGGAGCGGGTCTCCTGGGTTCCTGCAGGCGTCGTGGAAGGGAACCAAGTCTTGGAGAGAACTTGATAAAGCCCAGGTGCTCAGAGGTTATATGCTGAACCACTGCAGGACCAAAGACTGAGTGTTCTGATGCTTGAGACTGTGGGAACAGAATTTGCAACGCCTATCGAATGAGTTTAATGAGAATTCTCACCAGGATAATGGGACAGAGATCTAGCTTGGGAACTGTCTTGAATTCGCTTGCAGGCTCCACTACTGACTGACTTTGGTCGTGCTTCTTGGTGGGAGCCCAGAGACAGACAGCAACAGGATCCAGGTGAAGGCACCTTGGCAGGGTCAGGGTCTAGGGCTTGCGACCTCCTAAGTGCTTCAGAGCAAAGGGAGGTAGGTATCTTCTTGAATGCAGAAAAAGAATTGATCGGCATGGACCATTTGGATTATGGAGAAAACTGTATTCCCTATGGTACAAGCCACATTTCTTTCTCTTTTAAAAAAGTTTATTTTTTGAGAAAGCAAGAGAAAAACAAGTACTTTCCACGGTGTCTCATCCTGTGATACTTCCCAACGCTCCCCAACCAGCAGAGGTCCCATTGGATAGAACCTAGCATGTACACAGGTCACCTGGAACCAAACCCTCTTCCATATGACCTATGGCATTACAGAGCCTCGTGTTACCCCTATACCACCTCAGCTGGGCCTAAATATTTCTTCTTGATTGAAAATATGTTGGAAGCATTATGAACTTCTAAGTCCTGACAACCACTCAGCACTTGGGCAAAAGTCCCCTACCATGGGTCTTCTCTGAGGAGCAACTAGGACATACAGGTAGTCAAGTCCTTGGCCCTTTTGCGTGATACCAGGAAGGGCCGTGGTAGCTTGTGAACATCCATGAGCTCAATGCTCTCTAAAATGTCTTAAACCTTCTTTAGCTGCACATGTGTAGGCTCCTGGCCTTATCCTGGAGCTCTCCTGCTGGGTGTGCTCCTCCCCATTGGGATCCCCACCTCCAGAACCCTCTCCCAGTAGATCAGTCTGCTGAATGAAGAACTTCATAAGGAATGTTTGTTCTTGCTATGTCTTTGTTTTCTACCTAAAAGCCACACATCTGTTAAAGCATTTAATTTCATACAATATGCAAAAGTGTCAGCTAAGTAATAAGTTGATTCCTAAATGGTATTTGTTACTATTACTACTAATTTACTTGATTTCATCCAACACATGTATATCCAACATGTGTGTATTGAGTCCATTTTAAGTGTCAGGTGCTGCACTGAGTGTCGGGACACAAATATGAACAAGACTCTTTTGTGTTGCTAGAGAGGGAGCTGACACTCAAGAAGAGAGACATACCACTTTTTTTTAAAGAATTTTTAAAAATTGAACTTTATTTAATTTACCTATTTAAATTTGACCAGAGAGGAAGGGAGGGAGGGAGGGAGGGAGGGAGGGAGAGAGAGAGAGAGAGAGAGAGAGAGAGAGAGAGAGAGAGAGAAAGAGAAAGAGAAAGAGAAAGAGAGAAAGCAATCCGTCAGGGTCTGGGACTCGAATTGTTGGCCATGTGGGAGTCCAGTGCCCTTAACCACCATGCCACCTGCTGGCCCCCATACCACCTTTCTTAAACCCAGGCCAGCATCCATGCACGGCCAAGTCGAGGGTGTGCACTGCAAACTTCCCTGAAAACAGCCTCTCCAGAAGGGCCCTCAGCACCATACTGCAGAGCTTCCTAGCAATCAGAGAGGGATGGGGCATCAGGAGGAGATGGGCACAACACCTCTCTTTCTTTTTCTCTTTACTTCTAGAGCAGCCTCAGGCACTTTTATTTTGCAAAGCCCAGGTGGTCCAAAGAAAAGGTCCAACCTGAATATGATGAAGGAGGGGCTCCTTCCTCTCCCGAAGAACACATCTCCTCCACTACCCTTCAAGGGGTCCTAGTCATCCTCCATGCTGTTCAACAGTGTTGTGTGCCCTGAAGTGACTCTGGAAGCATTGGTTTTGTTGAGGTCAAGACCAGCTGTAGTCATGAGGACAAGCTTCAGATCCTGCTGGGAAAGTAGATGTGGAAGCTTTGGTAGAAAACGGTGTCTGTGAAGCTACTGCAGTCATGTTTCTCAAAGAAATGTGCATAAATGTGCAACTTTTGCACGAAAGTGGACACATTGAACAGAAAGTGGAGGAGAAAGCACTTAGGATTGAGGTTGATGAGATCCACTAGCCCTGGTCCTAAGTGGTACCCACTCCTCTAAAGGCAACTGTTCAAGAGGAGGAAGGGTGCTGGGTGAGGGCCAAAGGGAAATCCTATCAGCAGTGTAAATTTGAAAAGTTGCCAAAGATCTGTTCCCCTACTTCCCAGGCATTTCAAAACATTAGGAGAAGGACAGATAATTCAATAAATGGGGTTACGACAAAAGGCTAGCCATTTGGGGAAGAAAAATAAAGTTAAATGTTTATTTAACTCCTATCCTCATTCCAGATGGATTAAATGTAAAATGTAAAACACAGATCTGTAAAAGGGCCAGAATGTATGGATTAATATTTTCATAATCTTGGCACAGGAAAGACTTTCCTAACCATGGTAACAAAGCAGACATGATGAAAAAAAAAAAAAGATAAAAACCCACCATTTCTATGTGGCTAAAACACTACTAAATAAAGTTACATGACCAATTGGGAAAATATTAGCAGCCATCATATTTAAAGACCTAACACCTATTGGTTAAAAAAAAAAAAAAAGGAGAATATTTAGTAAAAATATGGCAAAGGACAACTCACACACACATAGGAACTAAATAAAAATACTCAGATTCACTATTCATTTTTTAAAATGCCAATTGAAACAAAGAAAAAAAATCTCTCTAAGTACTGAATGGCAAAGATTACAAAGAGATCAGGGAAATATAAATTGAGACTATCATTCTGATTAGATATTTAGGCAATATGTATCAACAGTCCTAAAATTGTACATAGTATGTCTACAATTTTTCCTCAAGAAAGTAAAACCAGATAATTGTCTCTTAAATATGGAACAAAAGCTGAAGGGTGCAGGTTTTTATTATTATTTTGTCAATACCAGAGGGGCTATGTGTGCGTGAGAGAGAGAGAAAACAACCCTCAGTGGGGCCTAGTCACACTGCAATCCTTTTTCCTTTAACCTCCATCTGTCAGGATCCTGGGAACCTGCACATGCTCCCAGTGTTTTCCAAGTTTTCCAGACCAGAACTCGAACCCTAGTCATCCATGTGGGATCTGACTTCCTCTGTGCAGTGCCTAACCCTTGTGGTATAGGGCTGGTTTTCTTTTTTCTTTCTTTTTAAAAAATTTCTTTCTTTCACAAGAGGAAGAGAGAGGGAGGAGAGAGAGAGAAAGATTCCTAGCAGTCTTCATGCCACTGTCGATCCCCAGGTTCAGCCAGTCCAGGGTTGCAAACTTCCTGCATGGGTTTGGCGTCACAAAATGTTGTATTATTGCTTCCCTACTGTCTGGCGCTCAGGTCCAGGTTTTTAAAGTGAATGGTTGGCTTGGAAAGGACTCTCAGTTCCTTTGAAGTTGGTGGCTGTCCTCAAGACTCCATGAACCTGGAAAGTTCAAGTGAAGCTGAAGCCTTCACTCGCTGCCATAGTTTAAAGGTTCTGATCAGGTGTGCTATAAGTGGAGTGCATCTTTTCCTCCTGGAAACCAGATGGCAAATGCAGAGAATTTTCTTGGCACTTGAACTTACCCTGGTGGTTATTACATTTCTGAAAATAATCCAATGTTTACTTAAAAAGAGAAAAGATAAATTATTGGGTGATGGACAAATTGCTGTTTTACCAACAACTGCTGTTTTCAGAGCACAAGGTAAATGCTATATACTAGGCATTTTTAGAACTTTTAAAAAAATTTTGTTTGAAAACTTGAAATATATGCCAAATAAGTTCATGTGGGACACAGTCTTGGGAACATGCACTGCTAAGATGCTGTGCTCCACAGTCTGGGACCATGTGAGAGGCCCGAGTTCAATTCCTGGTTTTAC